GCGGACTTTTCCTCGGAAACGACCCCTTTCATCGGAGAATGTTGACATCAATGCAAAGTGGTCGAGACTACATATTGACCAAGCCTTCCGAGCTGTTTTCATATCTGCTGCCTTGAAATCAAGAAATCTCCCTATTCGGCTCAAGAGGATTTGCTATGCAGGCTCAAAAAATTTCATTTTTCCATACCAGTGTTAGGATATGGAGTAGGATGTGGAAATTTTTTCGTCAGACGTAATATAAGTGCGTTTGTTGGCTGCAAAATAAAAACCGCTTTGTACTTCCGAAAATTATAAGGTTCACCTGAGAAAAGCACTTCCAATCATCCTCGTGGTAAAATACTCATTGGGAAAAACCTACTCTGACCATGACCCAACAAATACCGCAATACCTTCTGGTTAAGATTCTTTCACTAGAATTATGCAAAAACCACAACGCACATTCCAAAAACTTGGGCTTTGTGCTCTGACGATGACCATTATATTAGGTTGCACGATTGAAATGTCGTTTTCGATCATCAATTATTTTCATTATAAAAACAATAATGAAGCACATCAACCTGAACCATCTCCTTCACCTGTGTCACAGGCTCATCACCTTTCGTTACGCAGATGGATGGCTACCGCGTAGAACTCTTTCTGGTTCGACTCGAAGAAGTTGGGCACTCAAATTTTGACGTCGTCGCGGTTATCGAATTGGTTTGCTGCTAAGGAGTGTTGCGCTGACCTGGTCAGTGATAGTCGGACGGCGCCAGACCTGGGCTATATGGCGCGAGAGGTAGAGCGTCCCAGCCCAACTCCTCGATTTCTTGTTGCAAGATTTTCGCGACATGTGGTCTTGCATTATCGTGCCATAATTTTTCATTGGCCGAATTTACCCTTTGACGACGCGGAGCTCGGCCCACGTGGTGGAGCTGTTATACGCAGAGTTCAGCTGTAACTGTATAACCCACAATCAGCATTCCGTGGTACACCGTTGCTATACTATATCACCATATAAAAACATGACTTTGTTTCCGTGGATGTCTGGTTTCGAAGTCACCCTCAGCTGTCCATCAGCCGCCAACCAACCATCAAACCTTCTCGCGTTAAAATCCATGGTCTTCGTCCTCAGTCCTTTACCTCAGTCTTGGAAGAGCTGAAACCATAGCTGAAAGTGCATCAGAGACTAAGTGTTACTGCTCAATGTTTTGCACACAATGAGTGAGATTCGTTGGCCGTTTTTCCTTGCTTGAATATATACGCTCAGACGATGATTTTCTGATCAGTCATCTTCGAGCAAAAGTTTTGGCTCGAAGAACATCCGCTCAGTGGCGCCTAAGAAATCGCTCTCTCAAACGAAATGGTCTCCTATTCTAAGAGTTGTGTTTCAGGCTGAGAAACAAAGGCACAAACGTAAACGACATTTCATTTGCTCCGACATAATAGATACCACAACTCAATCCTGACCATAATTCTATGTCGCTAGAATGCAAAATGTCTAGCATCTCAAAAATTTTGGGTGTCACCCAAATGGTGCCATCGCGAGCTGTGGGGTTGATTTCGACGAAATGAATTACGTTCCTTGCTCTCTCCCCAATGTCCATTTGACGTGAACAAAGAAATGTGCAGAAAGTTGATCTGCAAAGCCGTAATAAATACCCCGCTCTGACGCGCCTGGTTATACAGCACGCTCCATACTTGTTAAAAAAGTCCGCAGGACGGCGATCGTGTCTTTATTTCCTCTTTTTGTTATAAACTTGCTTTCTGTTCACATTTCAACACGGAAAGCTATACCGTTAGACTCAGTTCCTCAAGTTATATAAGAACGCCCTCTCAAGTAACAGAAAATTTTATTTTTTGATCCCTAAGTGCCTATGGCTATAAAGTAGCGAGCGCCGCTCGCTGTAATTATAACCAGAAGGGAATCAGCTTCCACTGAAGTATTCAGCAAGCCTTCTCGCTTTCTTTTTGTATTGAATAGTATGAAAGTGGACTAGCGTGCTTCTTAGGTGATGCCGATTATTTTTATACCTAACGTTCCTTATTTAGGTCAACATCGATAAATTTCATTTTTGAACGAAGTTGCATCTTTGTAGGGGAAAATAATGAAAACGGACTGAACTGTGACCCTGTCTGAATGATATCTCTCTTTTACACAATTTGCCCTACTAGTTGTAAAATTTTTTTTCTCATCCCCCGTGCTTCCAATTCGGGCTCTTGTTTAACACCAGCGAATTCATAATTCTCTCGACGAAAGAAACCTCACGAAAGTTATACATTCCGAATGCTCATCCGAGGTGCGGTAAAATTTGAAGGGTTTCACGAATTTTCCTATTAGTAAACTTTTGGCTGCTGCTTGCTTTCTCCTCCCGCGACCCGACTTGGCCCGCAGCTAATGTAGTAGCCCAAATGCTGGTAGCCATCAATCTTACCCGTCACATGCGCCGACCTTTGTCAGGGAAATTCCACACTTTCTTCATTGATTCCATGGACAGGAGCTCGATAAATCTCGTTGATTTTTTGACTTGATTTTGGTCAATGCGTATTTTACGAAAATTTTCCAACATGCAGTGATTCAAAGCTTTGAATGCTAGAAAACTGAAGTACTGCAGTCACATTTCGCGATTAGGTCACAGGACCGATCCCTTTAACGAATAAGGTTGCCGGGTCCTCGACGGCAGAGATAGGTCCAATATCATTGCTCGAAATGCTTAAAGTGCCTGAAGTGAAATTAACTCTCAAGCGCAAGTAGCAACCACGCACACCTGTTGCTCAATGTCTGATGTCTTGCTCCCCGCTGGGTGTATGCCAACAGAATCGTCCGGAGCCCCTCGCTACTGGGCGTGTCGCGACTGCAGTGAACGAGCTCCTGCGAGCGTCATTTGAATTTTAATCAAAGGGATGCCAAATCGACCCATCCCTTTAACATTCTGTTTCAAATGCGCGGGTATTTCTAGTTCTCTCGGGTCATTCTTTCCGCTTTTTTTTATGTCAGCGGAAATAGACTTGGGAACCAAAACATGCGCAACGCACTTCTTATGAAAGAGTAAAGTAAGTACGTTTCAGATTAGCTTCGATATCCGCGTTCTACATAGATTATCGTGGGCTGAAGTCGTCAATTCCAAAAATTGCCGCGCCCATCGGAAAGGTGCCGCGTTGCGACATCGCGTAAAGTGGCCGCGCGCAGCGACGCCAGTCTCGGACGATTCTGTTGGCCGCTCCCCCTCCCCGCTAGGCTCTCTTTTCTTCGTATACGGTTCTCTCGTCTAGGCATGCAGTGTCTTTTTAAAGTACTTGTCTTCAGGATCTCCTACCGCACAGAAAAGGTTTAAAGGAATCTTGCGCGGAAAAATCATGATTCTATTTCAGCCATAAATCACTGGCTTGAGACTCATTATCCACGAATAGTGAAAAGAACTGAAGTATTGCTTTCGTTTTGATTAGAAATTCGAAAACTCGAAAAGGCTGCTACGCGTTCGAATTGCCCACGGACGTCTTTCACGAATGCTGGCGACGGGGATGCTCAAACTTGGTTCTTGGAGTGCATTCACTAGAAGCTCTTTCTGGCCTTCTGCTTCGTTGCATTCACATCTTACACTTCTACTCCATCCTATTCCATCGATCGATTTGTCTCCACTCTCCGAAATCGCGCGCTTTAACCCGATTCTCTCATTGCGTCGCCTGGTACGTAGCCGGCCAAACGCCGTCTTCTTTCCATGCCTCGCCTGGCTCTGCCTCCTGGTCCTTCGATGGTCCATAACGTGTAGTTTTTGTACGTTTGTTTCTCTTCAGAAACCGAATCTTCATGCGTGAAACTTTGTGTGCTATTTCCAGTGATCACAACTGACATATTCATGTTAGGAAAGAGTGCAAGAATTTTCCGCGCAAGATTCCTTTAAACATTCAACGTGTTGTTGGCCATATGGGCTGCCAACAATGTGCTTCTGGGACGATGGCAGCCCATATGGGCTGCCAGCTGATAATCGCTTGCCAGGCGCTAGGAATGGACAGATAGGTGGGTAAATCTCGTAATCGAGTGAGAAATGCTTTTAAAATTCCTTCACGGGGAAAGCGAATAAATGCTCTCTTTTCGTAACCACTATTCGTCGTTCTGATCGAAATACTACTATTATATGTTTAGATAATCTTTACACATTGAACATTGCTGAAATTATTTTGTGGCATTCATGTTTTTGTTCATTTACAGTACAAAATCTGCGGTGATGTGGTGAGGCGGCGGCGCCCACAAAATCGCGTCCGTCCCACGCGACCGAAAAGTGGAAAAGGGGCGTCGTCGTGAATGTGTTAAAGCAACAGTCCTCAGCAGGGTTTTTACCTTCGACACTAATGGTGTGGAACGATGCGCTAGCCCTAGTCAAGAACGTAAGAAGTGTGATTGTACAAAAAACTCACTTTGGAAAGCTGCTAGAAAGAGAGCTGAACGGCTCCGAAGTGGGCGTGGTTGGAAAATCAGCCGAGGCGATTGCAGTCGTCTTTCCAAACCACAGCCCACTTCGGGCCGCGTCAGCTCCCTTTCTAGCAGCTTTCCAAGATGAGTTTTTTGTACAATCACACTTCTTACGTTCTTGACTAGGGCGAGCGCATCGTTCCACACCATTAGTGTCGAAGGTAACAAACCCTGCTGGGACTGTTGCTTTAAGGCATTTTTCGTTTTCATGGCACGAAGTGAGTTGAAATTTTGCCGACCAGCGTCGGATTCTTTCAAGTTACTCTGTTTCTTGCTAACTCGTGAAAGATGCAATTAAAATTGAAAAATGCCTTCCACTCAAAACAAAAATTTGCGCAATTTATCGAATATGTTTGGACGGCACACTGAGAAAAATGTATCGGTTGCAGCACAACCATTTTCAAGAACCAACTTTCTGAACTACCTATCGTGAGCCGCTAATCTAATTACATATCTTTACGGGGAAATCTGATATAAAAATTCTGCCAAATTCATAAAAAAATCTTGCAATGGTAGATTAGCAGCTTCATTAGTAACATTGCTATAAAATGTTTTACTTCGAACACCTGTCAATAACACGAATCTTGTACGGAAGTGGAGCTCTGAAAGTAGACGTCAGCAATTTGAGCTCTGGTGGATAGAGTCCCTCAGGTTCGAAGCGAAATTTCTGCATCAACGACGTGAAGAACATGAAAACCTTAAAAAGCCATTCTACCATTCCTGATTCTTGATTCTTTTCCAACATGTAGTGTCGCAAGAAAGCTCACCTCCATTCTAGCCAAATTCTCTCCCAGACATGCTCGCTTCCCTAGCGAAAATCCATTGATGCGGTCATCCTTGATAAACTGACCATTCTGAACATGTTCTTATCAGTGAAAAAAAAAGTTGCTCCCACTTTCTAGTTCACTCCAATAGTGCGTGCACTTTATTGAAAGAGGATGCCACGGTAGGAAGGTCGGAGAAGGGGAAAACCTACGAGGACAGACGGACCCACTAGGGGTGCGGACCGATGCGATTCGCAGCGAAGAAAATGCCCCCGATCTAGCATGGCCCTCCCCGCAGCGCCAGCGGCGCGGTACGCCTCTATCTCGCTGTCTGACCTCTAGTCTTTTGCCAGAGAGAGCGTTAGCGTTGAAGAGGGCAGCACCGATGAGAGTCGCATCAATGCGGAAATCAACGGGCAAGGAAGGGGTCCCATTTCTCGGGTTCTGGGCCGTTTCTCATGGTTTTTTCTTCTCCCTGCACCACTCACCACCTTTACCCTTATTTATAATGGGTTGCCTTTCCATCGTAAAATTCGCCTTCAAGGGCCGTGACCAAATCCGAGTCTGATGTTACCCGTATATGGAATGGTGCAAAGAGGATAGATCACCAGTGATAAAAAGCAAAAGGAGTCATAAGAACACTGAGATTGAGGCCAAGTTTTTTTGTGAAGTCAATCGTGGTTTGACGGGGAGGCACGGCGCGGCGAGTAGATGGAATGCAAGAAGGAGCACGTGGCACAAACACTACTTACGCTGCGAACGATTAGAAATGGCAGCAGTTGCAGCGGTGAGGGCAAGGCCTTACCATCCTTGCAGCGCTCGTTCGAGTCGTAACAATGCATAACTCCTGTGCTTTGGGATCTTCTGCTTCACTCACGAAGAGAGCAGCTCTAAGAATGTAATCGTGACCCGTGCCTACAAGGGTACTGATTTTGCGCACATGTGACATCCATCATAATTTTCGCGTGTATACCTTAGCGGAGCGGTGCCCACATAACCCACGGGAGAGAAGGTGAAAAGAATTCAAACAGGCATACCTTTAGATGTCGCTCAGGGATGATTAGTTCCGGTCGTGGGTAAATGTCTTCATCCATATGAACAGACTGGAACTGAGGAATCACACGGGTACCACACTTGAGTTGATAGCCTTCAAACAATATTTGAGAGGTATTTCCTATGAATATTTAATGAATGACGTCACCTTCACAATTCACGTCTTTCTGTGTCATTCGTAGAAAGTTCACATAGAGCACGTATCCTGCTCGATAGACTTCTTGTAAAAAGGCACAGGTGTACGGGAGGATCTTTTGATCGTCCATAGTCACATCCTGTCGTAGTAAGTATGGATAGACCAGAACGCTCTTTTTTAGAACTTTGTGCACTTTATCGCGACTTTAAATATTAAAGGCACGCGCTAGGATGGGTTAGTGTTTAAGAGAAATGAAGGTGCAGACAGGCACATAGCGGGGCTGGAAGTAAAATGAACGCGTTGGAAATCATCAAAAAAACCAGCATACAGCCTAAAACCTTCTGCAATCCGGCATTGCACAATAGAGAGACAAACACGCAGAGAAGCTGGAATACGTGAAAAACCGCGCTGTAGGAGAGGGCACAGATACACGGCCGCTATACGGGCGTTCGGAAAACCACTCATGGTTTCGAATTAGAAGCAATGGATTAGCGCCCGAGCGCTCTTGTCGACTCTTTCGAATCATGTTTCATTTTTTTTCAATATCTTATCTTTTATTTTATTTATTTATTTATGTGAGCGATAAACTTTAACGATAACGCAGACTGCTCTATTTTGACCACAGCGAATCTAGTTACTTAAAGCGAGAGATTACGATAAAGTGCGTATGCAGCGTGGAAGTACATGCACCATTGGAAGCAGTAGTCAGGGGCCCAAGGAAACGAAATGTTGCGTTTTTGTGGTCAAAGGTGCGCTAGTTGCAGCGTACAAGGCTTGCCATTCCTTTCTGAGCCCCGCCACGGTCTGTGCTCCGCCCCCAGCAGCAGCGCCCTTCGATTGCCAATGTGACGAGATATTCCACTTCCAGAGTGTATCCTATAACTTTTCATGGGATGCGTGATCAATCAAAGCATGATGCTTGCTGAAATGATAGAGGCTATCAGCATAACATGTGCAAACGACCTCCTAATTGGTTGCTAGCTCGTCCATTATCGGAGGTCAACGGGCAAAGAAAGGGGTCCCATTTTGCGCCTTCTTGACGGATTTCTTTGCTTTTTTCGCCACTGGGGCATTATTCAGCATCTCCACTTCCACTATGAACCCAGTCCAAACTTATCGTAATCCCTCGCTTTAAGCGACTCAGTCCCGGGCGTGCCTATAACAGATCCTTTCTAAGTGATGTAGACACAGTACTCACCCTTTCCCGTCCTATAGCGTCATCGATCTCATGGTGAATTTTCTCCTGTATATGTGGATAGTTTAGGCATTGTAGTGGAACAGTATCGTGAGTGTGATTACAAATTGTTTCCAAACCGGCACTGTAGAGATCATAGATCGCAACGATGCATTGTTTCTCCGTAAATTCATCTGCAATTTTACTAGAAGACCAAACTTCCAAAATAGGGGTTATGAGCAAGGGGGGGTGGTGGTTCAAAAGGGAAACAATAGGTGCTGAACTCTCATAATGAAGCATTGACTGTGAGATACGAGAGTAAAAGGCGCTGCGGCGAAAGCGAAGACTGGGTTGAGGCGCGGGACGAGTTCAGACAGCAGAAAGCTAGGGATGCCGCTTTCAGGGAGGAAGTACCTCGTGAAGGTATTCCTGGTTTTTGTGCATGAATCATACGATAGTGGAAGCAAATGAACGAACCTTTTATTCCCTCCTTTCTCTTCTGTGAATTTCGTGAAGATAAGCATCGAGATAGTTTGTTGGCTCCTGATCGTAGTTGATGGTCCTTTTGTGGTGATCATATTGCTGAAATGGACACTCAGCTTGGAGAACCATTCTTTGAGAAAACAAGAGATAACCATGCGCATTTTCCATTTCATCTATTTTCATTTTCAAGTGCACTATCACATGCGACTTGAAATTGAGATTCTGTGGATGTGATGCTTGCCTGCAAGAAAGTTAATTCTCATCGGCTGACCGCATTCTTATCTCCTCTTTGCTATAATCCCTCTGTAAACATTATTCGCAGGATCAGCTTAACCGGAAAAGTCTATGTGTGAGGTGTTTTCAGGAAGTCTATCGTTTTCTGCACTTCACATTTGGATGCTTCATTTTACTTGAAATTCACAGAAACTGCCAGCAGTGTGGATACCGTTTTGAAGAGCTTTCCAACTTTATCCAAAGCTTGGCTCATCTTTGTTTTAGAACAGTTTGTTAAAAATTTTTTGAAGCTTCGAATGCGGGAGCAAGTTGGCATGACTTTCTTCTTCTATATTCAAATAGGCCTATCAGCGGAGCAAGTCAAGGTATCAACGATGCACTTGGTCTGAATTCGCACCGAATATTCTTTGATGGAGTAGTTCGAAAAGCTATCCTAACGAACGAGAACCTTGCGCAGATGAGAGTGGTGGTCGGATATCGGACGTTGCCACTGATTAGCCAGAAATTCTAATTGAAGTATACTAGGATAAGGCCAATAAGACGGTGCGCTGCCCCTTGGACGTAGTCACTATACGGAACTAGCTGGAAAGTCCAAAAAATTTGATAGGGCGTGCCGCGACAAATCACCAATTTGAAGGTCGTTCTCAAATTCTAGCTTGTTTTATGTGATTGAAGCGACTCGCTTTTCTACTGATTTGCGACGTACAATGAAGAGCGGATTCTTCTCTACAGCCCACGAAGCTTTGCTGAATAGCTCGACGGCGATCAAGCTCTACAAACTTTGCAAAACTTAAACTGTGCTGAAGGAGGGTTATGGCAACTTTCATCAGGTCAGCGGCTGGCCAAGTTCCCCAGTACCATGTGAAACTGTTAGGCCGATGTCAGACTTTGCGAATCGCGCGATTCGCAAAGTCTGACATCGGCCTTACAGTGGTGGAGGGCTCTTAACATTATATCAAAATTCACCAAAACTTCAAAATACGGGTTCAGCATTTCTCATTATAAAGGGACGGACACATCTCTGACAGTTGTCCTACACGCATGTCGCACAACCAACCCTGCACAAGTTGGACCAGCTAGGCTAAGAAGGGGTGCTGCAGATATCCTTCTATACCTCTGGCCTATCAACTGTCACTTTTTCGGGGGCCTCGATGGTTCCTTAAGAGAAATGGTTCAAAACACAACCCGATGCTAAAACGACCTTTCCTCAGTTCATCGCCTCCAGAGCTCCAGCATTCTAAACAAACGTACCCAATGAAACGGCTTTTATAGCGGAAGGTTCGCGCATTCGAACGTTATTTCAACTTAAAAGGTTTTGTTTAAGCTGAGATACATGCATTTGAAGTTCAGAGTCGAAAAACGACAGAACTTTCTGAAACACCTAATAGATGGCACAGCGATTATAGGGGCCGCTTTTCATTCGCACGATTCTATGCACCCAAGAACGCGAACGCGCTCAAAAGCAACCCCCTTCCCTTTGTAGTCAGACGCAGCCCTGGGATCGGTCCTACTAGTAGGAAGGATACCGTGAGGGAAATTGTAGGTCCGTACCTACCTAGATCACTCCAGCTTCGTCGCAAAATTGCGCGGTTAGGGCGCTAATCCTTACGGGCCTGCAACCATCGACCCCCGTTGCAACGCTTCCCACCCACCGCGAGAGATCAGCGTGCTCTCGAACGGTTGCTCTCTCGCGTGTTTTGTCTTCTTTGGTCGCCCTGTCTACCATCGCTCCACACTAAAGGTTAGAGCCTTGATTTTAGTTTAGTTTTAGTTTTTAGTTTAGTCTAATTTCTTTTGATTTTCAATGGCTTCTCTTGCTTTCTTCCCATTTTCACTTCATTCCGTAACTCAGTCATAACGACGAAGCGCTGCTATAGACCAGTTTTGTCCCGGCTTGCCTTTAAGGCTGAGAATTTACTGAACAAAATCACAATGTACATCTACTACCCGCAAGTCACAGCGTACACATAATACGTAGAGAAGCAGAACTAATCTATCAGAAAAGGAGGCAGGTTTCCCTAAAGGTGCTGCTGACGACGAGGGCGCCCCTTGCCGGCGAAAGCAGGGCATTACCCGCGGCGGTGCTCCCCTCAGTTTGGCTACCCTGTCGCTGTCGGTCTCTGCCGTGGACATGGTCTCTGCTGTGGACACTAGCAGGGATAGGGAGCAGAACGTTCACAATGGTGACGTCTGCGCCAAAGAGTCGCCCCGCTGGAAATCGACGGACAAAAGAGGCGTATAATTTCACCGGTTCTAGACCGCTCTTCGGTTTTTTCTTAAAGGCAAACCCCGGGATTGGCCCGACTAGTAGGAGGGATACCACTAGGGAAATTGCAAGGTCTGTAACTACCTAGATCACTCCAGCTTCGTCGCAAAAATTGCGCGGTTAGGCGCTATTCCTTACGGGCCGGCAACCATCGACCCAATTTCCAACGCTCCCACCCACCGCGAGATGTGGTGAATTAGCGTGCCCTCCTCAAACGGTGCAAAAAACGAAAAAAAAACGAAACCATTGCTTGGAACACCTACACAAATATAAATATACCTTCTGAATGAATTCTAGTATTGCGTCGTTTCCATGTAAGGTTGTTTCAATACCAAATCCGAGAATCCGATCAAAATGACGTAGAAATGGCATAATGTCGAGAAGTAACATTTTTGGATTGTTGAAGTGCTCGAAGACCTCAAGCATCACTATGTACATCAAAATGCTAATTATCAATAAGTAATTAGAAGTAACCTCATTAAGCAGAAGCTGAAATCGAATGATTTCGTTGTCCTCATGAGGTCGAACAAATCCAAATGCTAGTTGGTTGATGACGTTTCCGACAGCGTTCTGTGAAACGCAAATATGATTGGCGTCAGACGTATGAAGTGAGCTACTTCCTATAGGAAAAGAGCGTGTGATGCGCTACAACGGTCACTATTCATATCACCAAATTGCACTCACGATCAGTGCTGATAATTAGTGAGATTTCAACCTGAAAAAGTTCCCACATTTTCCGCCTGCAGAGCAAATTTGTCTGGCCACTCTTGAGGGCATAGGTAAAGATGTTGCTCTTTAGGCCGATGTCATAGTTTGCGAATCGAGCGATTCGCTAGCGAATCGCTGGATCCGAGCGTTGCGCCAGCGAATCGAACGATGCACCAGCGAGTCGAACTATGTACCAGCGACTCAACACTGTTTGAAAGTGGCGGGACCCAACGTTTAAAGGAAGTCCCGCCACTTTCAAACAGTGTGGTCCTTTAAAGTGGACTTCCTTCAAACGTTGGGTCCCGCCACTTTCAAACAGTGTCGAGTCGCTGGTACATCGTTCGACTCGCTGGTGCAACGTTCGATTCGCTGGCACAACGCTCTGATTCGCCAACTATGGCATCGGCCTCACTCATGATAAGGGAACGGCTACCGAACCGCATCTCAATTAGAGTACTCTGGAAGTCTGTGTAGGAAGGTAGAAACCATGTCTTGTTGTAGGTTTAGGGAAATGAACATGGGCTCTTTTATTTGGTTCTCATTGGTAGTGACTCACCGACAAAGTCAATGTGATTGTTTTAAAGAGCACATCCTTCAGTATGATTCGTACCATTGTAAATTTGAGCTTTCCAAAAAATGGACGCCAAAAAATCCTATGTGCGCGGTGAGACCTCAAACAGAGTCGAACAAG